GTGCCTGGTTAAGCCTCTACACTCCTCCGTGCCTCCACACCAGTGAACGGACAAGATTCGGAACTAGTGGAAAGAACAGTCCATCGACAAAGTATTTATCAACCCGCGATTCGTTTGTAAACTCTCTCTCTCGACGGGCCTCTCTTGAATAGGGGAACTATGACCGAAATTAACTCTCTTTGTATTTCCTTTAGTTTCATTAAAATTGTTAATTGTTAGCAACCATGGAATCCGATTAATTTACTTCCTCGTCTCTCTCCTCACCTCTACTCCGAATCCAATCGCTGACCCGCTACCGCTCGCGTGACGTAACGTCGCGATTTCCGAGTCCCGCAAGACTCGGTGGTGTCAGATTCAGGTCTCCTGACGTGGTGTCGAAGAGACACCGACCCTACGGTCACATAAACATATTTCCACAAAATTGTAGAAATGAAATTGTAAAAAAAATAATAAAAAGCAGAAATTAACACTTTCAGCAAGAACTACATGTAACTCAAAAAGAGCCGCATTTGCCCTGTCTGGTATACAGTAATAAGATCTATTTAATTACACTCATCGGCTTGGCCTATAACATGAGCGACCGAGTGGTGAGACGAGGCCTGACATTCTGCCCTGTAAAAAATTCCTGAAGTTGGTCACGGTCCGTTTCTCAATTCTTATCCGAGTCACATCGTCATTCTTCGTTCAATAGTAGTAAATTATTGATTCGGATTCATGTTGATTCCGTAATTACAAGAAGAAACCCTCAAGAAGAGAGAGTCGTCATCCAAAGTCCCTCTACAAAAGTCGTCTTCAAAAAGTCCGCCCAACAAGGTCGTCCTATTGATTCGGTCCCTCAATTGATTCGGATAATCGACGCTCAAAGTCCCTCAATTGATTCGGATAATCGACGCTCTACTGTAACTCCATTTCGTCGTAAAACACTGCTATTTTTATTAATTTGATAATATTTTATTAATATAGAGAAAATTTAAATAATTAAGTGTACTTTAATGATGCATTGTAAATACCATAATAAGTTGTTGGGATAAATCGTCTGGACGTACGATTTCCCGCGCTTTTCTTGTTTTCAAACGATCAATGGACGTCGTCATGGAGACGCGGATCCAGCGATGTCAGTAGTTTTGAAACTCGACCGCGGATAGGCTAGAAAACATCGTACGACCAGCGGACGTCCGATAGCGCTACTAAGCGCTGATTGGTGGAATTACATTCGTCTCAATCCGTATAAAAGGATTGAGATTAGGCAGGAAGTTGAGTTGAGTGGTCTCCGTTGCCGCTCATCGTAGTGGTGACCAGACCCTAAAGACTGGGAGGTTCGTCGTGGGTTCGCGCCACGTTCGGACAGGCTGGCTGCTTGGAGTTTTCCGGGTTTTCTCCTTGCCTATAACGACNTATTAAACTATTTATCTAAACTTTCCACGAGAAAAGAAAAGTTTAATTTTAAAATAATTAAAACTATAATTATATTTCAATTTGACTTGAACTTCATTGAACTCAACAGTTTCATAGCCTGCAATGATTTGAATTAATCATACACATACATTTTATATTAATTAAATTAAATGATAATCAAATTGTCATATCAAATAATTTAATTAGCATTTGATTCTGATCACAAGACATCAATTTATATTAAAACTATTGACTAAAATAATTATGACATTTAGCTTTAATTACAGAAATCTATACAAAATGCTTAATAAAAACTTCAAAGCTTTTTGTGTTTCACATATATTAAAACAAAATGATTTAATTGTTCCAATTTTTACAAGAGTTGTAAAAATTAAAAGAGTTTTTCTTGGATTTTAAAATGTGTTTACTTTTCTAATGTAAAAGTATAAAATTTGAACATTTTAAAGCTTATAAAAATTAAAAATTAAATATAAAAACTATAATTACTTTTAAATAAACAATGTACAATGTCAAAATTAATTGTTAAAAATCTGAAAAAATAGTTTTTAATTAATATAACGACAATATAAGATAAAGCCAAAACAATATAAATGATGATGATGCCACTAACAAACATTGCATTAAAAAGTCATTGAATCTATGATTAGAAATTGAATTCTTAATATTATGAACTATTTGAAAAATTTTCAGATGCCAGAAACAATTATCTTTAAAAGTTATAATGATGTTTTAAAAGAAATAGAATTATTTTAGCTTTTAATTATTTCATTATATGAATGGAGATTTCATACTGTAACTTGCAAAGAATACACTTTTCATTGTTATTGCTAAATTTACTGTCATTCTAGCTGCAAAAAGTTAGTTGCTTTAATTTCAGCAGTTAATTTAAAATAAACAAAAAACTAAAGTCTAATTGGTTATTATATTTAGTTATCTGGTTACAAGAATACAAAACAAACATATGTAAATCAAACAATTCACCTATTTATTCTTATTAATGTGCTGAAACTTATTGGCTTTTTGATGTAAACATTATTTAGCAACAACTCAAACATTAATTCACAAGAAATGTGTTTATTCTGCAAGAAAAAATATCTTGTTTACTCAAGTAGAAAAATTGCATTATTTTCGAATTAACTTTCATCAATCCTAGTCAATTTTAGACTTTTATTAGGAGATATTTAAAATTTATTCTTTCATTAAGAGTGAGACTCATCTTAACTGTGTTAATATAGAGTATATGAGTTTTCAGCAATATAAAATATTGTTTAAAAATAAATGGAAAACTGCAGATGATTGTTTTGTAAGATATAAATTTGAACTGTATTGTTAAAAGCAGTTAAAGTAATACTAAAAACTAAATTTACTGATTAAATTACAGTCAAATCCCTCTATAGTGATATTTAGTGAAACAAGAAAAAATATGTTGTAGAAGATTTATTATTATATTGTGAGTTTTCATAAAAGTATCTGCTTTCTCATTTAACACTGTCAGACTACAAATAATTATTTTTACAAAGATAGATAATGCTAAAACAAAAACATACAGGATTATTTGTCTTCTCTAACACAAGATTTATGTAATTTTAGTGCATATTATTTCTACAGCATGTGTTAAAATCTAGAATCATGGTAAACTGTTGTCCAATTAGTTAGATGATAGTTATCCAGATCCAAATAAAATTTCAAATTATGATAGATTTGTGTCCAAAAGTATCAGAAAACACTAAACAACTCTATAAAAAGTTAAAACTGATTTCCTTTGTCATATAGCATTAAATGTTATCAAAAAAATTTTGCTTTAAATCTAACATTTCAGCTAAACAAAGTAAAAATTGCTAATTAAATTTAAGTGCTAAACAAAAATTTTAGGTCTAAACATACCAAAAATATGCTATGTCTGAAAATCTGCTTGTCTGTACCGATGTCTACTAACTCACATAAACTAACTGTTCATGATAGAATTACTTATTGTATTAAGACAGTACCATATTTTAATTCCATAAACAAGTGATAAATTAAAATTTAATTTACTGCATTATCATCACATATAAGAAATACTATGTATTAATATATGTACTATGTAATATATTAATACAATATAATGTACTACATAATAATATATAAAGAAAAATACTATGTATTTTCCACTATATATTTTTTATACATAAAGGAATTCTAAATTTTTTGTTGTTATATAGAATCATTACTGTACAGAGATTTGACTGTATTACATACACTAAATATTAAAAAAAATAAAAAGTGAGAAAAACATGAAGGAGAGGGAATGACAGAGGACAATAGAAAGGATAGATAACAATAGAGTAAATATAGAGCTCAATTTCCTACAGGAAATAATGCATAATGGAAAATACTAAATAGTAGTAGTGAATAATATCCTATCATTATTATTATTTTATATTTTTAGTTAATTAATAGTTACTTTTTATATTGATATGATATAATCACCTGTTAACATACTTTCAAATCATTTTTCTTTTCAGAAATTAACTGTTCTTCTATATCAAGTTGATTTTTCTTTTTTTCTAATTCATTGTTCATTTTCTCTTCATAATTCTGCAACCTTTCAATTTCTTTTAAGAGTTCATCTTTTAATTGTTTAATTTCTAATTGCTCTAATTTTCTTTTCTTCTCTATTTCCATTTGACATTGGTCATGTTCTTCTTTTAAAAGTTGAAATTTTGTTTCAAATTCCATTTGAATTCTAGATGTAGCATGTTCTAATTCATTCTGATAATGTAACTGTTCAGCTTTTTTAATGTTTTCTATCTCTATTTTCTTCAGTATTTCTAACATATCATTTCTTTCTAATTTAGTTTTTGTTTTATTGGTGTCTTGAATTTGTAAAGTTTCACGTAAATTTTTTTGTCTCTCTTTAAACGCTTCATCAATTTCATGTAATTTTTCAGAAATTGTCTTTGTTTCCTTTAAAGTATTCACTTGAACTTCAACATCTGAAAAAGATTTCATTATATGCTGCTTCACACAATGTCTTAATAAGGAATACAAAACTCCTTTATGATCCATCATAGAGAATTCCATAATGAAATTCCTATAAAAGTTGGAATCTCTTGAAATACCCAATAAATCTAATATGTCATATACACTAAACATATTTTCTGGATTTGTAGACATAAATAATTCACTCTGAATATACGACAAACTAAGACGATAGTTCAGTTTATCTAAATGATTGTATATTAGCCAATTGGCAATCTAAAAAGAAAGTTAACTATATTAATATGTAAGACAAACATAAAAATTAAAATGTTATTAATATATTAATTAATATTTTAAATGCAGATATGAATTTAATAAAAAAAATTTAAAGGTAAATAAAATACAAGTTGACCCCCCTATAACACTGTTGATAATTTCGTTTTATATGAATTCCATGTTGTACGAGTCACTTAGATTTTACAAATACGTGAGCCTGCACATTTTACAATTCATGGCCCTGCACACGTATTTGTAAAATCTAAGTGACTCGTACAACATGGAATTCATATAAAACGGAATTATCAACAGTGTTAT